AGACCTGCCGACGAGCCCTGGACTGACTTCAAATGCTGGCAGTAAACTATGATTAAGCCATGATTAAGTCCGGTCTCTGTCCCTGTAGCAGCCACGCCCGGTTGCATCATCACCGCAGCCTCTTTGGGCTATGGCTAGGCAGAGCCACTTTATCACGCCCGCCTTCCTACTACGCAGCCCATCCTCCACCGCCATCTCAGCCTTGCCAGGTGCCGGATAGGGGATCCCTCGTCCGAGTACCCCCCCCCCCCCAAACCTCGGGGAAGCAGGGAGCGAGGAACCCCGGCCGCCTCTTACAAATCCCGGGGAAGAGAGAGGGAGGGAGGGAAAGGCTCCCGGCCTCTCCAGACTCCGCCCGGCTGTCAAAGAGGCTGCTCGCCCGGCGTCCTCCGAGGTGCCACTCTAGGACGTTCCTCTCGTTCTCCCTACTTCCCCCCCCCCCCACTTCAAGTGCTTTGAAAAACAGGTGGATGCTCTCTTCTTTGTGGCAGCCCCTCCAATATTAGAATACTGTTGTCATGTCACCCCTCGTCCATCTTTACTCTAGACTGGCCATAAACAATTCCTGCAACCGTTCTTCACGTGTTTTTGTCTCCAGGCCTTTAATCGTTTTAGTTCCTCTCCTTTGCCCCTTTTTGCAGGGTCTCAATATCTGTTTTGTAACGTGGTGACCAAACCTGGATGCAGTATTCCAGGTGTGGTCTTACTAATTTACTTGCTCTTTATAAATCTATACTAATCCTTCTTGTGATTTTGATTCTACGACGCTTGTTTATACAACCAAGGATTTTATTAGCTTTTTTTGGAAGCTTTTGCACATTGATGGTTCATGTTTAAGTGATTCACCACTCGACGCCAAGGTCCCTCTCACATTTAACAGTTTTTGAGCCAGGTTTCGGCTAATCTGTATTTGCAGCTTTAGGTTTTTCTGCCTATGTGTAAAACCTTGCTTTTCTCTATACTAAATTTCATGTTGTTGGATAGGGCCCATTGTTCAAGTCTGTCAAGGTTTTGTTGGATCCTCAGCTTGACTTCTGGGGTGTTGGCTATTTCTGCCAGCTTAGTGTCATTTACAAATTTGATAATTTCCCCTTTTATTCCCTCATCATTCTAAATCATTTATGAAGACTTTGAGAATACTGGACCTAAAAGAGAACCTTGTGGTACCCCACTGCTTACTTCCCTCTATGTAGATGTAAGGACTACTTGTTGAGTACAGTTTGTCAGCTAGTTACAAATCCATCTGGTGGTGATGCTGTCTATCCCACATTTGTTACCAAGATACAGGTTGTCGAATGTCTTGCTGAAATCTAAGTATACTATGCCTACAGCATTTTGCTGGTCTACTAATTTAGTCACAATGTCAAAGAATGTGGCAGCCGCTTGGTGGGTTTTATCAATCAAAACAGAGCGAGAAGGGACCTTGGAGGTCTTCTAGTCCAACCCCTTCCTCAGGAGACTCTATACCAAAGCTTTTCAACCTTTTCACAGATTTTACCACTTTAGGATATGGCAATATTCGACTACCCCCGGTCACCTAGCAAGGTGTCAAAAACATGACCAAAAAAAGGGGAAGTGATAAAATACAGGTAGTCCTCAAGTTATAACAGTTTGTTTAGTGACTGTTCGAAGTTATAAAGGCACTGAAAAAAGTGACGCATGACCATTTTTCACACTTATGACCGTTGCAGCATCCCCAGGGTCTTGTGATTTAGATTCAGATGCTTGGCAACTGATTCATATTTATGATCGTCACAATGTCCCAGGGTCATGTGATCCCCTTTTGCAACCTTCTGACAAGCAAAGTCAATGGGGAAACCAGATTCACTTAAAAACTGTGTTACTAATTTAACAACTGCAGTGGTTCACTGAACAAATGTGGCAGGAAAAAGTGATAAAATGGGACAAAACTCATTTAACAAATTTCTCACTTAGAAACATAAATTTTGGGCTCAATTGTGGTTGTAGGTTGATGTCTATTTGTACACCTACTTACCACACTTTTAATGGGAAACTTGTGCCTGTTTCTCTGACATTCATCTTTGCACTATTCTATCCCCTTCTGGTTGACTCAAAGAAGCCAATAGGTGATTGCAGGGCCTTTGGGGAGGGGTGTGGCTTCTGCCATTGAAGTGGCATGGGGGGTGTCGGGGTGCTAGTTGGCTATCCCCAACAGAAATGCTCAGAACAATGCTCGGCTGTAGCTTTGGGGGGGACGGGGCAAAATGGGGCAGCTTCACCCACCCAAACGCTGCCCTCTCATGAAAGCAGGATGAAAACTCTGAAAAACGACAAAGAAAAAAGGATCTGCCCTCTGTGGAGTAGGGACAGGGTTACTATGCTCCCTCTCAATCAGGTTTGATTTCCTTTCTTCCCCCCACTTCCCTGCCTCCCCTGCTTGTAGCAGCCTCTGAGCCCCTCATTCTTGGGAGTTAGCATTGCCGGCATCTCTTTCTTCTGAGCCCCTCGTGCTGGGAAACTGTTGCCACCCAAGAGCTGTTTTAAGGCTAGGGAATCTTTGAGGGGGGTTACCAACTAGCACCCTGACATGCCCCTAATGCCCCCGCTCCAAATGCAGAAGCCGCACCCCCCCCCCCCAAAGGCCCTGCAATCACCTATCGGCTTCTTTGAGTCAACCAGAAGGAGTGAAGGGGATAGAATAGTGCAAAGATTAATGTCAGAGAAACAGGCATAATCATGTCACCAGTTGAAAAGCCCTGGTTTATTTGTCTTGGGTGTGTTTCTTATATCTCCTCCTTTGTAAATGGGATTTATGTCCCCATATTCTCCCTAACCAGAAAAGATCCCCTTTCCTTCTACTTAATCTAAATCAGTGGTTCTCAACCTTTTTAATGCCGCAACCCCCAACCGGTCGTAAGTCGAGGACTAAACCAGTCGTAAGTCGAGGACTAAACCAGTTGTAAGTCGAGGACTAAACCAGTCGTAAGTCGAGGACTACCCAACCGGTCGTAAGTCAAGGACTTTCCCTGCCTGGGAGTGCTGTGCATGCGTGGTTCCGCCCCCTGCACCGGCCGAGGCGTAGCTGGCAAGCGGCAGAGACGGAGCAGGCCGACCACCAGCTGGCCCAGCCCAAGGGAGATAAGGCACCCGCCGGAAAGGGGGGAAAAAATGGCGGACAAAAAAAATGGCGGACAGTCTTGCTTGGCGACCCCGGTGAAATGGTCGATTGACCCCAAATGGGGTCGCGACCCATAGGTTGAGAACCGCTGATCTAAATAGAGAGGAACGAATATCCTGAATTTTGTTCCAATGCTTTGATTTTCTTTGGTTTCTACAAAGCTGGGTAGAATCTCTAAAAACCGTGATTTCCCTTGTTTTTTCTCGGAAGAGGCTATGATGCGGCAGCTGCTTCTTGGTGGCTGATTTAGAAAGGAAACTAGCAAATGGTAGAAGAAGCTTGGGAGAGAAATGGAGGGGAAAGGAAGGGGAAAATGAACAGAGCTGCAGATGAGAAAAGAGGGAAAGAGGGAATGGAGAAAAAAGAGGAAGGGATTCAGGATGGATGTTGGACTTGACCAAGGCCTCAAACTGCAGAATTCAATGACACCAAAGGGGAAAATGATGAAATATGAGAGGAGAAAAACGTGTTAATCCCGTACTATAATTTTGTTAAACCGTAAAGGCCACGAGATAAAATGTGAATTTCACCTCATCACACTCTCCCAAAGCGGGGATCAACTTTTAAACCAGAAATTACACATCCCTCAACTAAAGCATTGCTAGTTTAACCATGGTTTCTGGTGCTGCTGCCCTTGGTGAAGTGATTCCAGTGGTTGGGTGGATGCAACACATGAAGCCGAAAGAAACTGGCTGATGTTGGAGTCCAAAGTCTATCTTGGGCAGGTAGGACCACCAGGTGGAAGTTTTGGCCAAAGGATGCCATCAACCTCCCTTTGGGTAAATGGGGGTCTCAACCCCCACCATGAGGTATTGCTGACCCCGATGAATATATTTACACCCTCCCTAAACTATAAAGGAATAATAGAAAGCCGTTTTAGGAGGACCCCATGTTCAGTCTGAGGTGGCCCAAAGAACAGTGTCCATGAATAACTACATAGGTTGTTCTCTCTGAATTGGAGCTACCTCACATATACAAAGTCTATGAGGTGGGGATCTTTGCTGTGTTTTCTCACATCATAGAGCATCACACACACACACACACACACACACGAGAAAAAGCAAAAGGCAGGCAAATAGGAAGCAACAGGGAAAGCCATGATAGCGCAGTGGTTAGAATGCAGAATTGCAGGCTACCTCTGCCGACTGCCAGTAGTTCGATTCTCACCTGCACAAGGTTAACTCAGCCTTACATCCTTCCGAGGTCAGTAAAACGAGGACCCAAATAGTTGGGGTGCAATATGCTGACTCTGTAACCCGTTTGGAGAGGGCTGTAAAGCGTTATATATGTCTAAGTGCTATTGCTATTCTGTCAGCCATGACAAATCTTTCTCTCTTCTTTTCTTCTTTTTCCTTCATCCAACAGGTGACACCGGGAAAAGTGGGCAAAGTTCCAGTTGTTAGATTTTCTCCGTTTAGAAAGCCCTGCAATTAAGAAGGTGCGGGAAATTATGCTGGGTGGAGAAATACTTCGATAGAAGCTCCCCTCAGAGGAACCAGGAGAGACTCTTCAAGTGCTCTGAGGGCAGGATATCCTTTGCTCACAAATTCCTCCCTTTGATTAACCAGACGCTGGACATGAGGAATAGATCCCATCTGTGTTTGAAGTGGGGGAACTCGTTTCCTGGCTGTGGAGCTTTGCCAAACATCTCCGGAGCCACCCCGGACTGAAGCCCTACAAATGTGGAGAGTGTGAGAAGCATTTTGCTAAAGGCTGGGACATCGGAGCTCCTTAGCGTATCCACCAGGGAAAGAGACCTCAGGAAGGCCTCAGTGTTTTTCCAGGCCTCAGAACAGCCCATCTGAAGAGAAACCCCTGCAATTGTGTGCAATGTGGGCTTTGCTTTTCTCAAAACTCAGAGATGCTTAAACATCAACAAATCCACACGGGACAAAAACCTTATCAATGTCTGGAGTGTGGGAAATCTTTTATTCGAAAAACAAGTCTCAAAATCCACGGGAAAATTCACATGGAAAAAAAACCTTATAAATGCTTAGAGTGTGGAAAATGTTTCACTCAACGTTCATCTCTTTGCAAACATACTAAAACACATGAAGAGGAGGAAAGCAGAACGTGCCTAGAATGTGGGAAATCTTTTTCCAGCAAATCCTCCCTGCAACGACATCAGAAAGTCCACACTGGGAAAAGACCCCATGAATGCCGAAAATGTGAGAAACGATTTGAGACTTCTTCCACCCTATTGAGACACCAAAAGACGCACATTGGAGAAAAACTCTATAAATGTGAAGTTTGTGAGAAATGTTTTTCTCTAAAGGGAAGTTTTTTTCGACATCAGATAATCCACACAGGGGAGAAACCCTATCAGTGCATCGAGTGTGGAAAATTTTTTCGTACGATGTCAAGCCTCGGACATCATAAGAAAATTCACAGAGGGGAAAAAAAATACAAATGTTTAGACTGTGGGAAAGCATTTATTCATTCAGCTCATCTTAGAAGTCACTGGCAAGTCCATATAGGAGAGAAGCCCCATAAATGCTCGGAGTGCGATAAATGTTTTTCTACGAAAAATAGACTTTTGATACATCAGAGAACCCACAGTGGAGAGAAACCATATAAATGTCCGGAGTGTGGGAAGTCTTTTCCTTGCCAAGAATATCTTAAAAAACACCAGACGATTCACACAGAAAAGAAGCGTATCAGGTCTAAAGAGAAAAATGAAATGTGCTCAGAATGTGGGAGATGTTTCTCCCAAAGGTCACACCTAATTCGACATGAGAGACTTCACACCGGAGACAGGCCCTATCAATGCCCAGAATGTGACAAGCGATTTGTGGAGTCTGCTGAACTCCGGAGACACCAGAGGGGGCACACAGGAGAGAAGCCCTATAAATGTGGGGAGTGTGCGAAAGGTTTTCTCACAGCAACACTACTTCGGGTTCATGGGAGAATCCACACTGGGGAGAAGCCGTACAAATGTGTGGAGTGTGGGAAATGCTTTTCCCAAAAACAACACCTTGGAAGTCATCAAAAGGTCCATCAAAGAATGAAGCCATAAAGACTCATAAAGTGTAGAAATTTTTTGCTCAAAAGGGAGATATCAGAAAACTCACATGGGAAAAGGTGAAACAGTTTTTCATAGTTGTTCACCCTTAGAAGTCATGTAAGTGTTCCTAAAAGGGGGGGGGAGATGGGAAACCCTTAGATCATGAGAGAGCATTTTTGTAATCATCCCTTAAAAACTCTAATCCATATAGGAAAGATGTAGCATAAATGTTTGGAGTGTGATGTATGTTTTGCTTGAAAAAATACTCTTTTTCAGCATTAGTGAATTCTTACTGGAGAGAAACTTTTATGAAGGCTTAGGATGTGGCAAAGGTTTTTATCTGATAATCAGATCTTCAGATGCACAATGAAAAATCCACACAGAAGAAAAACCTTTACACGTGTGTAGTGTGAGAAAACTTTTCCTTCCCAATTGGAACATCTTGCCTCCTGGAGTTTGTCCCTTTGAAATTGCCTCCTTGGAAATTTTCTTGCCAACTTAAAAATTGTATAATTTTTATTTTCAGAAGTGAATATGAAAGTCTAATGTGAGTGTGAAAATCTAAAATCTAATGTGAAATTCTCCAGAATCAAAAAAGGACTCCTGCTAAGATCTTGGAAGCCACCAAAAGTCTCTTTTGAGTTGGGCAGGATTAATACATCCAGGAAATATATACAGGCAGTCCTTGACTTATTTTACGACCTTTTTTGACACAGTTGCTGAGTGAACCACTACAGTTAATAAGTTAATCACACAGTTGTTAAGTGAATCTGGCTTCGCCCATTGACTTTGCTTGTCAAAAGGAAGGCTGCAAAAGGGGATCACGTGACCCTGGGACACAGCAACGGTCATAAGTAGGAGCTGATTGCCAAGCATCTGAATTCTGATCACATGACCATGGGGATGCTGCAAAGGTGGTAACTGTGAAAAACGGTCATAAATCAAAAAATTTCAGTGCTGTTGTAACATTGAACAGTCACTAAATGAAGTATTGTAAGTCAAGGACTCCCTTTAGAAGCATAGAATATGTAATCTAGAGTGCAGTGGATGGAAGCCCGGAAGTAAGAAAGGCTTTGATTATAATTTTGTGGTAGTTTTAAAAACCTTTTGGAAGAAACCATAATATTAATGAAAAAATTGACTGATTTTAAGGCATTAGCTGGTTTTAAAATCAGTGGCAAATACAAAGAAGTTGACCAAAATATGAAAATGGAAGACCAAAAAGAATTGATGGGAAAAGCGATTTAAAAGAAAAGTAAGACATTTGGGTATTCTTACAAAGAATACAAATTCTATGTCAAAATAATTATGACAAGGCATGGAGTGAAATCAAGAAGGATTTGTTAAGATGGAAAAAAAATTGCAATTGTCGTTGGGTAGAATTTCTATAATTAAAAATAACTATATTACCTAGAGACTGTTCTATCATAAACAATATCTATCTGGACAACGGGTGCCACCACTAAAGAAATGGCAGGAAGATATATATAGGTTTCCTGCTCACGCAGGACACCCTATACCAGTGATGGCGAACCTTTGAGAAACAATGCCCGAACTGCAACCCAAAACCCACTTATTTATCGCTGGATGCCATGGCCCACTGGATGGCTGTGGCTGCAGTGGTCACAGCAGACTGGGTGGGCGTGGCCACCTGGATGTTGCTCATGGGGAGGGACACTTGGGGTTGAGCAGGGTTGCGCCAGCTGCGTTTGGGACGCCTGGAGCAAAGAATGGCTGCGGCGGCAACGTGCCTTTCCCCTTCGTGGCTGTAGACATTTCCCTCTGATCGGTCCAACACACCCGAAAGGGAGATGGGTGGGAGCTGCCGGGCAGAGGTCGCAAAAGGAGGAGAGGACCCTGGAGCGGATGGCATGGGGCCACGCGGTGGGACAACCTGATTCCCCGCCTGTGGGATCACAGACTGGCTGAGGGCAGGGAAGCCATTGTCCCCGGTTTCGGCCAAGTGGTGTGTGTGCCACCAGGCGGAGCCCACAAAACGAGAGGACCCCAGAGCGAACAGCGCAGGGCCGCACGGTGGACTGGCTGAGGGCAGGGAAGCCGTTGTTCCCGTCTTCGGCCAGGTGGTGTGTTGGCCGCCGGGTGGAGCCCACAAATAAAGGAGAGGAACCCAGGGCGGGCAGCGTGGGGCCGCATGGTAGGACGACCCGCTGATTCCCCACCCAACAGGTGGGATCACCGCCGATGATGGAGGAGGAGGGCTGGTTGGGGACGGGTTGGCGGGCGCAGCGCTGCCCATGAGGGGAATCTAACAAGTCCCAGCCTGGAGGTGGGGGAGAAGCCAAAGGAGCCCGAAGGGAGGCAGGCGTGGTGCTCAGGGGTAGCCACTCTCCCCCCACGCTTTCGCAGAAGGGCTGGCTGTCTTCGGCGTTACCTGGGCGGGCCTGGTTGCACATATGCCCAGCAGCGCTGGCAGGTCCGGCCTTCTTTCTTTCTTCCTTCCCTTCCCTTCTTTCCTTCCTTCTTCTCTCTCTTGTCCCTTTCTCCAAACTCCAAACTCACATGTCCTCCTTCCCCCACAAGCCTTCTGAAAAGCGCAAACGGATGCCGCATCGTACTTGTCTTCTCCAAACTCACACCCACCGTCGCTTCCAAAGGCCGTCTACTCGCTCTCTTGATGCACTCCCGCCAAAACCTGCTCTTTTTATACTAGTTCCCTTCTTCCCACTCTGCTCTCGCAGCTGTTCCTGCGAGAGCGCTGCTGAATTCGTTTTCCCTGCCATCTCCAGTTCCCACTAGCCAGGCGCACTTTTAGGATATGGCAATATTCAAGTACCACCAGTCGCCTAGCAAGGCGTCAAACAGTTGATGACCCCCCCCAAAAAAGGAAAAAAAGTGAGGTAGTCCTCGACTTACAACAGTTCGCTTAGTGACTGTTCAAAGTTACAATAGCACTGAAAAAAGTGACTTCTGACCATTTTTCACACTTATCACCGTTGCAGCATCCCCAGGGTAACGTGATTCACATTCAGATGCTTGGCAACGGATTCATATTTACGACGGTCACAGTGTCCCAGGGTCATGTGATCCCCTTTTGCCACCTTTTGACAAGCAAAGTCAATGGGGAAACCAGATTCACTTTAGAACCGGGTTACTAATTTAACAACTGCAGAGATTCACTTAAGAAATGTGGCAAGAAAAGTCACAAAATGGGACAAAACTCGTTTAACAAATTTCTCACTTAGCAACATAAATTTTGGGCTCAATTGTGGTTCTAGGTTGAGGACTATCTGTATACCCACTTAACCACACTTTTAACAGGAAATGTGTGCCTGTTTTTCTGAGATTCATCTTTGCCGTGTTCTATCCCCTTCTCTTCTTCTGCTTGACTCAAAGAAGCCTCTCCTCTTCACCGTCTCTCTCCATCCCCTTCTCTTTTCCTGTCGTGTTCTTCCTCTCCCTTTCCCTCCAAAACCTCCACCTTTTATATCCTCTCCTCTCTCCCCATCCTCCTTTCCCCGAGGCTGCGGGCCAATCAGCTGGAGCCCCACAGCAATCCAGAGTGTCAGCAGAGCCCTGGCAACCCCGAAGCTCCACCCGACTTTCATACAGGCCTGTGCGGCGTTGTCGCCGCTTCAGCTGATCCCCACGCTACACTTTTACGCTTTTTTTTACACTGATTTTCATGCCGACATATGCGTACCACCTGCCTGGTAACGAAGTATCACCAGTGGTACACCTAGAACAATCAGCTGGAGATTGAACAGACATGTCAAACACAAGGCCCGGGGGCTGGATGCGACCCGCGAAGTGGTTTCATGTGGCCCACGAAGCCATCCTGGAAACAGTGAGGGAACGGCCCCCACTGCCTTGGCCCTGGCCCAGGCCGGCCGGGAGCCAATGTACAATTTGGTGGTGGCCATCTATGCTGAAACGCATTCAGTCTTAGCTTCACAAGGCCGTCTGGAAACAGCAAGGAACCAGCCCCTGCCGTGTCGGCCTTACCGCCTGCGTGCATGCTGGGGAGGTGTCACCCTTTGTGAGGAATGAAGAAATGCACTATCGCCTAGAAGTGGCCAGCAAAAGGCCCTCGCCTACTTCACATATCCAGCTTGATGGGCTCCGGCGGAAGGGTTTCAGCAGGCAGTGAGGCTCCTCCAGTGGACCATGCCTTGGCATTTGCCCCGGTCCCACCCCCTTCTGCCAGAGACCCTCAGATCTGTCCCACTCCTGCCCAGGCCCCCACAGGCCCCCTTGACGCGAACGATGTAGAGCTGGCCATGCCCACCCAATAGGTCACACCCACTCCGTCCACACCTAAGCAGTAGGCCACACCCACCTGCCCCCCCCCAGGGCAACCGCAATAGTCATGCAGCCCTCAAGGAAATTGAGTTTGACACCCCTGACCTAGAACAATTCAGGATTTTGTTTCCAAATGTAGCCTCCCTTGAATAGTTGATATCTGTCTTTTTTTTTTTTTTTTTTTTTTTTAATTTATATGCCGCCCTTCTCCCAGCGGGACTCAGGGCGGCGCACAACATATTTAAAACCAAAACATATATACAATCCCCCCCTTAAAACCGAATTAAACCGAATTTTAATGTTGTGTCTTCCGAATTCCTAAAAAACCCAGTATAAAATCCACCCTAGGTCAGGTCCGCTTGCTGGAAGAGCCATGTCTTGAGGGCGCGACGGAAGGTAAGGAGATCCGGAATTATCCGAATCTCGGGGGGTAGTTCATTCCAGAGGGTAGGGGCACCCACAGAGAAGGCCCTCCCCCTGGGGGTCGCCAGCCGACACTGCTTGGCCGACGG